GGTTGGACTAGAAGACCTCTAAGGACCCTTCCGACTGAACCCAGGGAGAAGATGGACAGTTGATCCACCACGTTGAAGACAAGCCAACTTCTTCTGAAGCAAAGCATGGATGGCGTGAGTCACCAACGTGCTTTCTCTCCAGGCCATCTGCTCCCCGACAGGGTTGTTGAGCAACACACTTGCGCCAAGCTCAGTTGGCACAAAGGGCCAACACACAGCCAGCCTCCAGGCCCCGATCTCCAGAACATAAAAATGCAGAAGGATTAGGCAAAAAAAAAAAGGAACCCAAAGAAAAAATTAAGAAAACTGGTGAAAAAGGAGAGATTTTGTTCCCTGGCAGCTGCTCTTGAAGATATCCCTGTTCGTTGCGATTCAGGATTTAATATTCAGCCAACAATCCGGCTCAATCAATCAAGTTTTATTACAGTTGCTGACCAGCTAGAGATAAATAACTAAGGAGCTCTCGAAACCCAAACACTGATGACATAATTAATGAAAATTACGCCTGCATTTATTGGGAATTAGATCCACGATGGCCTTCCTGATCGGATCTGCGACATTTTACCAGCTCTCCAGACAAACGCGGGGAATTTTACAGTACAGAGGATGGCTGGACTGAAGAGGAGAAAATAAGAATAAAACTCACGGATGCGTCAAAAAAGAACGGCTATAATTAAACCGAGAGAGTCTCTGTAAAAGGTGGACTTATCTGGAGAAGGCCATTGAACGCTTTCGCTGGCTTTTATTACGCAATTTCCTTAAATCTGCCCTTTGTGATATTAAAATGCGCTAGCCGGGATGCTGCATGGTATCTGGAGCATCTATTTGTTTGAGAAGTGTAAGGCTGCATTTTAAAGTTAAATTTGACTTAGGATAGGATAGGACAGGACAGGACAGGAGAGAAGAGAAGAGAAGAGAGGAGAAGAGAAGAGAGGAGAGGATAATCTCCAATTATTCTCCAATAATAGAAGCTTGCCTGTTATTCTGTTATCAATCAAGATGGTTGAACCAAATAACTTCTAAGCTTCCTTCCAACTGTAGGATTCTATGAAATCCTCTGGATTCTTTTGCAGAAGAAGCTGGAGAGAAGCTCAACCCAAACAGAAAGTAATTTGCTGGTCACTCAACAGTCCAGTAGACGTGCCGGACCAAGGTGACGTTCCACCTGAACTATGAGAAGAAGACTTCTCATCAGCAGAACATCAGAAGAAGACCATCCTTCATGGACCTTGCTGTTAGATCTGTTGTCCCCTTGCTCGGTCCCTGATCTCAGCAAATTTTGTGAGCAACGGTGATGGCGGTTAGCAGAAACACATGACTTCTGCTGACTCCGATCAGCCCAGCCAGAGAAGGCAGATAGCCCCAAGCAAGGTTGTTCCCCATACCTTAAAAGAGGTGGAGATGACTCCTTGCTGCTTTTATTAATAAGAATATTTCTGTCCTGTGGCTCGTGCTGAACAGTCCTTCCCTTCCCCACCGCGTTGGAGATGGAAAACGTAACGCCAGAAATCCATAGCAGAGGAATAAAAATGACAGAAAACCTTCTGCTCGCTCAGCAGAAGAAATTGTTAATTACTTTTCTCCTAATGGATTCCACAGGAAGGTGCACAAAGGTACAAACACAGCCGTACGCACAACTGGAAGGAGCTCGCAAAGGTGATCTAGGTGACTTTGTTTCCTGAAGTCTTCTCAACGGGTGGTGTGAAGGCCCTTTGGTGATCCTCAGAAAAGCAGAGATGGAGGTCCTTCTTAGGAGGCACGCTGGCTTTCCGGTTGGGTGGGCCAGCTTGGTGGCGACAACTAGCTGTGTGATGCAACTACTGAAGCAGCAAAGGTGATCTTGGGCAGCGTCAAGAGAAACCAACAAATCACGGCGTTGTAGGGTGGGAAGAGAAGATGACGGGGGTCTGACCTTCTCTGGTGTGCAGAAAAACAAAGTCAGCCATCCATGCGAGGTGGATGTCCACCATCTTGAAAGACTCCAGAGATGGAAGGTCCACCCTTTTTGAAAACGGTGGGATGGAAGGATGGATGGATGGATGGATAGATGGATGGACGGATCCTAACAACAGGATAGATGAAGGCCTACTTTGCTTGAACAAATGAAGGCCACTCCTTCCCAGCCGGCCAAGAGCTCCTGCCCCCTCCTTCTGAAGTTACGGGGTGCGGAAGGCCAAGCTGAACCCCGGCAATTAAGAGCAGTCACTTGAACGGTCACTTGACATCTGTTTGGGCAGATGTTGCCAGCCGTGCTGGTCTCCTCCTCCGCTGGGCCTGGCATCTGTCAGACATTGTTATTATTGAACGGCAGGATTAACTTCTGCTCAGAGCAGAACTGGAGGGCAAGGCAGCAATTAGCCCGGACTTTGGCCAAGGAAAAAAGATGGCAGGCCAGCACAGGAGGTGCTGAGTGCGAGGGTTGGGCACAGAAACCATGAGAGAAGCAACTTTGGGAAAAGCAGGGGACTGTGAGCATCCCTGTAGCTCTCTGAGCTTGGCTGTTTTCTTGCAGACGTTTCATGATCCAACTAGGGAACATCATCAGTGTTGGAAGGGAAAGGGGATTTTCGAGGAGGAGGAGGAAGATATTCTAACACTGGATGTTTTTAGGAAGAGACTAGACAGCCATTTGTCTGAAATGGTCTAGCTAGCATCTGCCTGAGCAGGGGGCTGGACTAGAAGACCTCCGAGGTCCCCGTTATTCTGTTAGGAAATATTCTGTTCCCTTCCTGGGAAGAGCATCCCCCCACCTCGCAGCTACAGAAAAAGGCCGCTGGATTTCACAAAGCTCAAACAATTACGCAGCCGTTTTCACTGCCAGGATCCGTGTGGGTGGAACCAGCCACCCTTGCAATGGGCATCCATGTGCGTTGCCAGGGGCAACCAAAGGTTTGGTACCCAAGGGAAGAAACCCAACATTCTCCCAAGTTTTTTCTCAAGAGGGGGAATTGGGAACGATGCAGTATAGCCAGTCCTCGACTTTACGACCGTTAAGTGAGCCAGGAAGTGCAGCTGTAAGTCATGCTGGCCATTAAGCGAGTCACTGTGCCCGCTTTTACGACCTTTTTAAGGCGAATACAGCGGTTGTAAAGCAAACACCACCGTCATTAAATGGATCCATTCTCCTCCGTATTGAAATGGCCAAAAAAATTCAAACTAAGGGGGGGGATTCACTTCCCTCTCCTTCCCCCCCCCCCGAGCCAAAGATATCGGCCAGAAAACCATCCCGTTTTCCCTGCCGAATTTCCATTACTCCGACGCCCGGCTGATTCACCGACGTGATGGCTAAAATCCCTTTAAATCCCCAGCAACCCCTCAGATAAAAAACAGGGATCAGTCAGACTTCCACAATCGTTCCTGGCCTGAATATCTTCTTGAAGATGGCGCCAAAAAAAATATCAGTTTTTTTTTTTAACTTTAAGCTTTTTTTTTTTTTTCTAAGCTGGCGAAAATATTTTTTTTCCCAAGGGGGACGTCTTAAAACACAGACCGTTTGAGACTTGCTGGGTGGGCAAAAGAAAAATATATATTTTTTAAAAAAAATAAAGGTGTTTTTTTTTTTTCACTCCGATTCGATTCGGGGTCTGGATTTTGCGACAGGGCTGAAAATTTGAAAGGCTGCCAAATGGTGGAGCCCTGATCGGCGAAGAACGGGAGGATTACACAGCAGAAGCTATTAGAAATGGGGGCAAACCCTTCCCTTCTTATTTGGGATTAAAATTATCTAAATTGTACATGAACCGAACTTTCCATCAGCCTTAGAAAGGAGAGCTGCTGCTTCCCTTGGGCTAATTAGCCAAAAAAACCCACTCGACTGCCTCCTTTATTTTTTTAAAGTACTCCTCGCCTTACGACCACAGTGGAGCCCCGAATTCACGTCGCTAACCCAGACAGTTGTTAAGTTGCCCCATTTTAAAACCTTTCCTGCCACCGTTGTTATCTGAATCACTGCGGCTGTTGTGTAAGTAACACGGTCGTTAAGTGAATCTGTCTTCCCCATTGGCTTGGTCACAAAAGGGGATCACGTGATCCCAGGACAGTGCGACTGTCATAAGTATGAGTCAGACGTCAGGTCTGAATTTTGATCACGTGGCCGTGGAGATGTGCAACGATCATAAGTTTGAAAGATGGTTACAAGTCAGTTTTTCACTGCCGTTGTAAGTTTAAGCGGTCACTAAATGAATGGCTGTATTTGCAAACATGACCCAAAGGCTTTTATCTTAGGGGATTCTCTAGGGGAATTTAAAATTAGGGGCAGACAGGGAAGGGGGGGGGGAACGGTAAAGTTTGACCAACAACAGATCTCTGTTTGAATATCAAAGTAGCACAGGAACGACACCAATTTGAAGGAGCCGGAATGGACATAGTTTGCAAACAAGATACCGTGGGAAACTGAAATTGACAGACAAAGGAACAACAAGAAACAATCAACAATCCAGAGAATGAAACTGAAATTGACAGTTTGGACAAACTCACCCAAAAAAGAAACCAGGCAGAGAAAGAAAACAAAATCGACAAACCAACAACATTGAAAACTGAAACCTACGGAGTTGCTCTCCCTGGACAAAAGTCCCAAGGTGGAGAGCGTAATACAGATTTACTCACAAAAGTGTCTCTTCGGAAACTTAAAAAGAAAAGTCACATCAAATCACTGTCTGGAAAAGAACTGGATTACTGACGTGATGGCCAACATCTGAGGAGATTGGGGACTTTGCCTAACAACTTTCTGGAGGAGACGATCCAGGGATATCAGCTGAAGAGGTGTGGCCCAAACTTGAGGTGGACATTAAAGGAAGCAGATGGCCTCTTAAGAAGTTCTTGGGCCCCATTTGACCTCTTCAAACCTCAAAGACAGATCTGAGGCACCATTGGTCCCATCAGAGGTAGAACGGACACCCCCACCCATGTCATATCTGCCTACCAAGTGACCTCCTAGCTCAGAACATCCAAGAAGACACCAAGAACATCTGTGAAGGCACCGAGAAGATAAGGACACCTACCTGAAGTGTCTCCTGGTATTTTAGGTGGCGATGGTGGTGGAGCTTTTTTTCTGCTACCCCTAGATGTGGAAGGGGGCAGCAGCGTGCTGATGGGCTGGTTCTTAGGTGCCCCGAACCCTGTGCCAAGTCCTTTGAACTGTACGGTTGTAGAAGCCGCTGTGGTGGTAGTGATAGTGGTGGTGGTTGTCATACTGTTGGTCACCCTTTCCAAAACCGAGGTGGCAGGACCACTGTAAATCCCAGGGATGGTGCTGGTCTCCAGAGCTTCCAACGGGCTGGTGGATCCCCATACGATGACCTCAGTTTCCAACGTTGGCTTGCTATTTGCTCGGAGATACCTTTTCCTCCGTTTCAAGTAAGTCTGGGACACGGCTCTCCTGTCCGTCAACGTAGGGCTGGCTTTCACGTGGGCGAAAGACGGCGTCTGCTGGCTTTCCCACAAGAGGTCCACCATGTTGCGCAACCGTTTGATATGGGACAAGTTGGGCCGTTGTCCGTTGGACAGTTCCAAGTAGTCAAGGCTGGCTGGAAACCCAAGTCTCCTGGTTTGTGGTCCATATCTAAAGCTCCACAAAAGGTGGTGAGGGAATCCATACCAGCGGGCAGGTCTCTGCAAAAACTGATGCCGATGGTCTCGGCCCAAAGATGCACAAGAAGAGATCTCCATGGCAAGTCGAAACATGGCTATTAAAATCCAAGGGTGGCTTCGCACAGGAGAAGCTGACCTGAGGACAGACAGAGAACTGGGTTAGATACAGACGTCCGTGAACCCAAACATCTCAAGGTGGCTGTAGGACACAGGAGGAAGCTTGGGTGATGTTTCCCTCAGCATCAAGGTCAACCAGCTTTCCAACCCTTGGCCAGATGACCTTCTCACCCAACATGTTGTAAAAACTCTAGGTCCAGAATAAGCCAGTTTCTCAATCACAGTCAGATTCTAACCTTGCAGTAGAACCCCAACCAGCTTTCCAATCTTTGGCCAGCTGACCTTCTCACCCAATGTCTTGTAAATGTTCTAGGTCCAAAATAAGTGTGTTTCTCAACCACAATCAGATTCTAACCTTACAGTAGAACCCCAACTAGGTTCTCCTCTTATATTCCATCTCCTCTCCTGGTGTCCCTATCCTTCTTCCTTTTGAATATCCTTATTTCATATTATAGAGTATGAATATTCTAATCACTAATCCCCTGTTCCTTTGACAGCCTCTTATTACGCTTCTCACGCTCAGCCACCATGCCTACGGACCAACGTTGAGATCTTTTCATCCAACCTCGCCTTCCACCTCCGCTACATTCTGCAGCACTTCAGCAGAACCGTCTCCGAGCCACCCTTGGGTAATCTTTCATCTTATTTTTCTGTCTTGCTTGATCAACTCTGAGAAATGGAACAGCTGAGAATCCTCACCACAGAAGGTTCTGTGATGGGGTCTCCTGACCTCCTCCTACAATTCCTCCATCTTACGCTCCACCACGAGCACCAAACAATGTTTCTTTGGAAACAAGCTGTGTTTCTCGCCCGTTTCGTGTCCATTTGATGGAGTAAGAGACCCATCAAACAAGAGATTCATTGAAAGGAACCCATCTCAGACAGATGGACCGAGACGGAATCAACTCCTCCACGGCTTCAGCTACTCCGGAATGGGATGGAACCTGAAGACCAGGCCTGAAAAAGTAGGTGGAGAACAGAGTAGACAACCCTGGGGAACCCAAAGCACCCTGTTGAATGGGAAGGACGTTCAGAGATTGCTATAGACATGCATACAATTAGGATGGACGGTGCAACATCTGGGGACTTTTTCTGTCTCTCTGGATGCTGATAGTAAAAAAAGGGGCACGCCTGACTTAATCCCCAGCGTTGCTTAGCAGGGGAAATTCTGATGCCAGTTGTGGAGGTAAGTGGAGGACTCCATAACTGCAAACTCCGGGTCTGCCTTGAGTCGCAAACGGAGGGCCCCTGGCCTTGACCGGCCCCTGAAGGGCTGCAGAGACGGAAGGAAGGACAAGGAAGGATGCTGTGGTGGGCGGAGTTACTCCTTGGCGCTTTTGTTCTTGCTGTGGGCTTTGATGTGCCACGGTCTTCCTCTTCCTTTTCCGCTCTTTCTTCCCCCTCTCTCTTCCTCTTCCTCTCCCCTCCCTCCCTTTCCTTCCTCCTCCTCCTCCTCCTCCTCCTTCCCCTTCCTTGCATCCTCCTCCTCCTTCCTCCTTTTTTCTCCTCCTCCTCCTCCTCTCCTTCTCCTTCCTACCATCCTCCCTCTCTTCCTCCTCCTCCTCCTCCTCCCCCCTCCCCCCTGCTCTTTTCTGCAAAGTCATTTAGACAGCCTGCCCGGCGTCCCTTTTTAGCGTCCCTTTTTAGCGCACTGGATGGAGATCGGGGCTCCCACCATCCGATAGACAGCCAGGCCTGATGGGGCCCCCCCAACACAATTCCTCTCCTCAGTGGGAGATGGGTCCACAGAGTTATGATTGTGATTGTGTGTTTTTTTTTTCTCTCCCCAAGCTTGACTGTCTGGAGAGAAGAGAAGCAGGATGCCGGGGTTGTGACTGTGTGCATCTCACAACTGCGCTAGAGAGTGTGCATGGCTTTCCTACTCCTGCCTCTCACCACCACCCCACCACCCCCAGGAGAGGAGTCTTCAAATTGCATTAAGTAAGTTGTTTGGATCGGAGTTTGACAGACCGTGATAAATGACAAGCCATTTTTAAGGACAGGACTGGTTTTTCAGCTGCTCTGCAAAAGCCTGAAATGCTGGCTTTCCCCTGGCGGGGCCTGCCTCAGTTCCCTGCACCGTTTGGCGAGTCTCTTTTTGGACTACAGCTCCAGGGCCTGGCTGGTGTAGATGTAGAGATATAGGATGGATGGATGGATGGAGAGAGAGAGAGAGAGAGAGAGAGAGAGAGAGAGAGAGTGATAGATAAAGGCAGAGAGATAATAGGTAAATAGAGATGTAGATAGGCAGCAGATAGATAGATAGATAGATAGATAGATAGATAGATAGATAGATAGATAGATAGATAGGCAGCAGAGACAAAGAAAGAGAATTGATATAGACAGATGATAGATAAAAGGATAGATAGATAGATAGATAGATAGATAGATAGATAGATAGATAGATAGATAGATAGATAGACAGCAGACAGAGATAATTGATAGAGGGATAGATAGATAGAGAGATGATGGTTGTGTGAGTGATGGCAAGATGTATTTCGACATAAAACAGGCATGTGTGGGAGTTTGCGGTTGTCTAGGCAACACAGCACTCCTCGTTTTGCAAGACACACAAGGCCATTGTGTGTTCCAGGAGCTGATCCTAGCACAACAACACAAAAGGCTCTTTGGCAGGGACTGAGGTGGGCATCTTCAAAACTTGGAAGAGGAGATGAGCTGCCTCCTTCTGCAAAAGTCTCTCCTCCTTGCCGGCATCTGCCAAACGTTCGGCTTTAAGAGACAAACCTGCCTGAAACTTAATCTCGAAATTAGTTTTTAATTTAATTTTAATCTTGAAATTCCCTGATTTTGGATGCATTCCTTTCCAAAGCAGACGTTCTTTTTTGAGAAGAGATTTCAACAGTCTCATCTCTCTCTTTCTCTCTTCTCTCTCTCCTTTCTCTTCTCTCTCCTTCTCTCTTTCTCTGTCTTTTCTCTCTCCCTCTCTCTCTTCTGTCTTTCTATCTCTTCTCTTTCTTCTTCTCTCTCTCTTCTCTCTCCTTTCTCTTCTCTCTCATTCTTTCTCTCTTTTCTCTCTCTCTCTCTTCCTCTCTGTCCTCTCTGTCTTCTCTCTTTCTCTCTCTTCTCTCTCCTCTCTTTCTCTCTTCTCCCTCTCTCTCTCTCCTCTCTCCCCCTCTTCTCTCTCTCTCTGCCTTTCATTCTCAAGTGCGAAGGGAAGAGCAAAAAAACAACAACACACACTTGTAAGTCAGGGACTATCTGTACAATCGTTAACATGTTTTCCAGGCAAGGCTGGCAAAAACTGGAGGAATCGTGGAGAAAAGAGAGCAAAGCAAGGAGGATGGATAAATGAAGGTTTGTCGCACGGAAGACAATTTTCAGTTTTAAATTGTTCTGACTAGGAGAGAATCATGTTCATACTTTTTTGTGGCCTCCAGGATGGGAACCAGCTAATGCAGTGATTTTTTTTTTTTTTTAGCCCTCCCGAGTCTGCAACTGCACAAGGCTGACTTTTTTTGTAGATCAAAACAAAGGCAGGAGAGGGGGGAACTGTCAGCCTTGGGGGGGCGGCTTTCTCTTGCTCTAAGGGACGGAGAGAGGGAAGGGAGGGAGGGAGGGAGGAAGGAAGGAAGAAAGAAAGGAGAGAAAGGAAAGGAGGGAGGAGGAAGGAAGGAAGGAAGGAGAGGAAAAAAGGGAGGAAGGAAGGAAGGTGAGAAAGGAAGAAGGGAGGGAGGGAGGAAAGACAACATACACACAGCCCTGGAGAACTCTCCAATGACCCATCCATCACCACGTTGGATGAAGAACATCTGAAGAACTTTGGGAGAAGGACAGAGAAGAGCAAATGGCTGCCACAGTTCTCAGTTATGTACATTTGTGCGTTATTATTAATTTCTCTCTCTTTCTCTCTCTTCAAAGGCCACGACAACCTGGTTAGATAAATTAACCGTAGATTTGAAGGTGAGTTTGTCACCTTGATAAAGAAGAAAACTGAGCCGGTTGAGGCTGCCTTAACGATTCAGCCAAGGTTATTTCACCAAAAGGACAGCCAGTCTGACAATAATTGGATATTTCAAGTTCAGGAAGTCCTCAAATTATGTCCACAATGGAGCCCCAAACCTCTGTTGTTACTTGACCTCTCCTGATCTGGAAGACGTTTTGAAGAGTCTGTTGGACAAAGGAGATTGCCGCGACTGCAAAGTCATCCTTGAAATCGACACAAATTATGAGCCAATGGCTGGGCCCGCGTCATCAGCAAGACAGTCCCGAGATGTGATGGCACCTCCAACGCCACAGTTTCTCGCTAGACCTATGAAACTGTCGTTGTCTCATTAGTGTGTTAAGGCCCAGATTTCCCAGGAAGACAGTGCCCAAAAACCTTAAAAATGGTGGCGAAAGACCCCACAACTCCTGAGGTGGGGGAGCTGAGGAGTCCTTGGCCCAGCCAAGACATTTGTCCATCCCAGAGGGCTTCAGCTGGCTTCCTCTCTTGCACACACCATCTCGCACACCCATGCTCGCTCTTCCATCCACATGGCTCTCCAGGTGGGAAAGATTCCCGTGGGTGTTTTCCAGGTTCGTTGGCAGGTAGCGCGCACACGCACACACCCCCGAAACACAAAAGATAGTAGCTTGATTTGTGCCAAACTCCAACTTTTCTCCAGGGAAACAGAACCGTTGAAAGAGCAGCGAAAAATATCTATAGATGGGGACCTTACCCACGGTGGGAAGACATTGAGAATTCAGTCTGGATTTGTGGGGGGAAATGGCGTAACTGCTGGCAAACCGAGCCTGCTCACTTTGTAGGATGAAGGACGCTTGAGGAGGGAGCGAGGAATTTGGATTTAGCAGGATCAGGCAGAAGCGATCTAATGGAGAAGAAATCATCCATTAAGCAAGCAGCAGGATGGAAATCAAAGCCACGGGAGACCTGTCTCCATCTGGCAAACATCTGAGAACCAGCGGAGACGCCGACGCAGGAATTAGATTGGAGCAAATTAGACAGACAAAGTTGAGGCCTCGGAAACCAGGATTCAAGCTGAATCCAGGTCTGTTGACCAGACTAAGCCCATAACTCCTCGCGTTTGGTGCAAGAACGATGTGGCATTCAGGAGCCCACGTGGCGAAGACGACTGAGATGGCTTGAGGAGGCATCTCAAAAAGCCTGCAGAGATATCCATCTTTGCTCAAATGAAAATTAAAGGAGGAGGGAACCAGCCGGCATCCTTCCGATCCATCTGGTTGAATGTCACGATCCAATTTTCACATGCGGTCTCCTGGGACCTCGTGGCAGAAGGTCGAAATTGTGCGACATCTCGAAAGAATGTGTGATGTGACAAGTCACATTTGGGATGGCGAGAGGTCTCCAGGGAGAGGGCAAGGCTGCGTAAGTCTCGTGAAATCTGGGCGAAGTCACACGCTATACAATTCGACATCTGTGAATTAAATTAATGTGCTTTATATACAAACGCCGATTTTTTTAAAGTGGTCTTCAGTGTGTGACCACAGTTGAGCCCCAAATCTAGAGAAATTTGCTAAGTGAGCTTTGCTCCATTTTACGACCTTTCTCGCCATAGTCTTTAACTGAACCAGTGCTGTTTAACAACAAATTGTTGTCAAGTCAAGGACCATCTGTATCCCACAATGGCGCGCCACTTAATTTTTTTCAGGAAGCCCCTTCAACGTGGTGGAACACAATGAACTTCTATTCCCTGGTCTGTTTGGGTGCGTATTTCATTTTTATTTGGTTTTTTGTTCAGTTCTTGGCGATATAAAAGTCCATGAATCAACCTCAACAAGGACATGACCTTGATTCTCTCTCTGGTATCAAATATAATCACAAAATGAAAGGACTTTTCCATCCTGTATTTCTCGCTTGGAAACAGCCGGAGGATTTTTACATAAAATTATCTTCGCCCATTCCAAAATGGGTTGAACAGATCTTGATTTAAAGCAAAGGTGGAATCTCTGTCAGATCAAGGTCGATTTCTGGTGATATCAAGGGAGGGATGAATGTAGCTTCCTGGGACACTAATAAAGAAGCTGTTTGCTATTCCTTTCCTTTTCCTGGGTGGTTCTTTAGACTTCCAAACCTACCTTCGGAATATCAGAATCCTGATTGGATGGGAGGGACCCTGGAGGTCTTCTAGTCCAACCCCCTGCTTATATAATCCCGGTCAAATAGCTCTTTCAGTCTGTTTTTGAAAACCTCCAGCAATGGAACAGCTACACTGTCTGGAGGCAAGCCTTTCCACGGATTAATTGATCGGGGGGGGGGGGTTGGACTGGAAGACCTGCAAGGCCCCTTCCAGCTCTATTCTGATTGATTGATTGATTGATTGATTGATTGATTGATTGATTGATTGAAATGGTCTAGACTAGAGTCTCTGGCTTGACCAGGGGGTTGGACTAGAAGACCTCCAAGGTCCCTTCCAGTACTGTTCTTTGATTGATTGATTGATTGATTGATTGATTGATTGATTGATATGGTCTAGAGTCTCTCGCTTGACCAGGGGGTTGGACTAGAAGACCTCCAAGGTCCCTTCCAGTACTATTTGATTGATTGATTGAAATGGTCTAGAGTCTCTGGCTTGACCAGGGGGTTGGACTAGAAGACCTCCAAGGTCCCTTCCAGTACTGTTCTTTGATTGATTGATTGATTGATTGATTGATATGGTCTAGAGTCTCTGGCTTGACCAGGGGGTTGGACTAGAAGACCTCCAAGGTCCCTTCCAGTACTGTTCTTTGATTGATTGATTGATTGAAATGGTCTAGAGTCTCCCGCTTGAGCAGGGGGCTGGACTAGAGGACCTCCAAGGCCCCTTCCACCCACAAGATTCTATCAATGACTTCTGAGGATGAAAACCCTTCTGATCTCTTCTGATCTTCCTCTTGACTCGCTGCTACCCCTCTGGCAACCGTCGGGGGGGGGGCTCCTGGGAGACCCGAGGCACTGAATGTGTGAAGCAGGTGCACATTCCAGGGAAGACAACACGGCCTTGTTTCCACCAGACGCGGTTTGAACGTGGGAGAGGCAGAGGAAGGGGTGGGGGCTGGTCCTCCATCCGATGAAAACCGCAACTGTCTGTCTGCCCTGGGACAAAACGGCCAGTGTTTGGGGGAGATCCTTCAGGAGGAAGGGCCCGCTTCCAAGCAGGGGTGCGGCAACACACACACACACACACAAATGCACACACTCTAGGGAGAGAAGGATGAGCCTTAATGTGTCTCTCAGCCCCTTTGGACACACAAATTGAGGCCGCGGTGTGGTTTCTGGGTCTTTGTGTCCTCCTCCTCTTCCTCCTCCTTACAAACCCCCACTCCCTTCTAGCATGGATGATGTCACCTAGTTTGGTAATGAAACGTCTGCAAGAAAACAGCCATGTTGGGCGGGCAACAAGGACCCCACAAACTTATGAATATTAAACAGAACTGAAGGGAATGCAGCCTCTCCTCCTATGACGCTTCCAGCACAAAGTTCAAGAAAGCGCCCAATAAAAGATTTTATATAAATAAAATCTTTTTATATATATAAAATCCGCTTCCTCTTATTCCAAGAAGCATCTTCAATATTCATTAAGACCTAGAACCACTGATTAATCAGGATGAAGTTAGCCAGCTCTTTAATTCAATTGCCCATCCTTATTATCCGCTTAAAAAAAAAAAACCACCTCTTTAATTGTCTTTTTTTAAAAGCACATTTCAAAATAACACTTCGATGCTGTCCGTAATTCGGTTTTTAGAGGCTGCTAACCCGTCTGGACCCAACTGTGGGAATCAAAGCTGTTTTAATTGACTCTCTTGCTATTCTGGAATTCTGGCTATAAGCAGATGATTGAAAAACTTAATTAGCAATAAGCTGGTCTTCTGGAGTGCTTCACCCTTCTTTTAACCCAAGCATTACAATAAAAAAGAAGGGGGGAAAAATACAATTACTTGCATTTTTCACAATGAGATGATTCTGTGAATGAGGCTGTAAATCATCCTTTCGTCCCGACGTTTTCCAAATATGCTGGAAATACGGGTGAATTCGAACTTCAAGCGAATATCCGAGGGATCATGATTATACAATGCAGCATGCAGGTAGTCTCGGCGTATGACCAAAAGAGAGCCCCAAATTCTGTTACTAAGTGAGACATTTGCAAGTACAGCCAGTCCTCCACTTAACAGGTTCATTTAGTGACCGTTCAAAGTCACAAAAGCACTTGTGACCATTTTTCACACTTAACGACTGCTGCGCCATTCCCGATGGTCGGGATCCAAATTCGGATGCTTGGTCACTAACTCATCTTCGTGACGGTCACAGCGTCCTGGGGGGGGCACGTGATCCCCTTTTGCGACCGTCTGACAAGCAAAGTCAATGAGGGAGCCTGATTCGCTTAACGACGGTGTGACTCATTTAACAACTGTGGCAAGGAAGATGATAAACTGGGGCAAAACTCACTTCACAAGTGTCTCGCTTAGCAAGGGATATTTTGGGGCTCCATTGTACCTCTGTTTTGTGGCTTGTGTGGAAATCAGCCTGTTTTTGTCATGGAAAATGTGGCGTTGAGCAGTTTGGGTTTTGGGTTGCCAAAAAAGCCCCAATGTTCATCTCATATAAACATACAATAACATCCTCTTTTTAAAAACAAAAAAAGGCAGAAAAGGAGACTAATCTTAGAAGGAAGAAATCCTAAACCACCTGATCTTATAAAATCATTCATAATTCCAAACATTCCAAACCACAATTCAGATTCCAGGAATGAAAACTTGGCTCGTGGCTTTGAAAAACCAACGCTGTTTAGGAGTTTTTTTGTTGTTGTTGTCAATTTTCTGCGCCTAGACTTTTGCCATTTCTTTAAAAACAGGCACCAGGCCGTCCGAAAAAAATGAACACTCTTCACATCTTGATGAGAATACAATGGCCGGTTGTGTTTCCCAGCGTCCTTCTGCTGCACCCGAGGAGGGAGAGGCCGTTGTCATGGAGCTGAACACAAGCCAACATAGACACTGGAAACACCTTGATTGAATCCAACCAAGGTCAGTCCTTCTCTAGCCTCCTGCATGCCAACTGAGCCCAGAAACTTGCAAACCAGCTTTACAAAAAAAACCCCTACAGACCAACAGCCCTGTTGCAAACAGACACACAAAATAGTCCGCAAGGGGGTTTCGGGTTCAAATCTCAGCCCTACTGCAACATTCAGAGAGATTCCGCTTCTGCTTAGGTCATATTAAACCATAGTTTAAGACAGTAGGCTAGGTTAATCGCCCAGGGTGCTAAGTCTCTCTTTTGCATCGGTCAAAGCCCAGCCAAAATCATCCTCAAACCAAAATGCCTTTCTTTTCTTTCTTTTTTTCCTGCGTCTTGGCATCGCCTGCAACTGGCTGAGCTTTTCCCAAACGCAGTTTTGCTGCTGCAAAGACACCCTGGGATAAAGAGTTGAAGGGTTTGTGACCGATTTCTCTGCTTCTGTCCATTCGCCCCAAAGCCCAAGAGCAGATGTGCAAAAAAATGCAGGATTTGATCCAGTCCTTTCCTTAACTTTCCCATTTAAACCTCCGTCTGGACTGGCTGAGAGTTGCTTCTCAATTCGTGTCCTGGTTATTTTTTCTCTTGGACCCCCCCCCTCTCTCTCTCTGCCAGCCCAGCGGATCACTCCAGCCGCTCAATCAATCACCCGCCGCCGTGTCCACAGATCTGATCCCCAACGCCTTGCTGGGGGAATCAGCTGCTTATTCATCACCAGAATCGCCCGGTTGGGTTCACGCTTTGCGCCCCCAAAATGCTTCCTTGGACTTTCACAGGGTCTGGCCCCTGTCCCCGTTTTTCAAAAATTGGGTTAAAAATGTAGCCTGGAGCAGGCAAGGAGTCCCGCTGAGAGCAGATGGGGAGGGGAGAGCCTGGTTTTTATTATTATTATTTTAATTTTGTCAGCATTGAGTCGGCTGCCAGCCCAGGCAAGGAGGGGGTTAAAAGCCAGCCCTGATTAAGATTTTCTTCTTAGAAATAATAAATCCAGGGTGGGTGGGAGAAAGGGAGGGGGGGTGCCTGTCCTCCCTGGAAACAGCAGAAGGGGGCCAGACTGGAATAAGTCAGCCTTGTGAATCCTGCACAAGACTTTGCAAGCCTTGTAAAAATCGGATATTTGACGAGGCTTCACTCCCCCCACCCTACCTCCCCCCCGGCAGGGGTCAGGGCTTTTCTGGTGCTTGGCATTCAAAAAAAGAAAAAATCACGAATGGACCCACAAGCACACACAAGAGGCGAGCAGGGCAGCCTCTGAAGAAGGCAATTTTTTTTCTGTGTCAAGTTCAGGGCAAGTATGGAGAAGGTAGAGATTTCAAGCAAGCCTCACATAAATAGGATGAAACTAGCATGCCGGACCAATCTTAAACACCCTCCCTAAAAAAACACAAAACATCTCGATTTATTCCCCCCCCCTTTTTTTTTTTAAGAAAAGAGAAAGAAAGAAGACGCTGGACGATGTTTACAGTTGGTATTCGACACACACAACGAGGCAGGAAAACCCCGTTCTTTGCACGAAGAAAAGATGCTGTGTATTAGTATTAAATTGTTATCTATTATCTATCAGTATTAGATTATCTTCTTCGGAAACTGCCCGAATAAGACGACCTTCATCCTACTGCGCACTTCGCCCACCCGGATTTTGAGAGGCGCAAAGAACGCGTGAGTTTAATTCATTTTTCAGAGTCAAGGATGAAATATGGAAGGGTAGGGCTGGAAGGGACCTTGGAGGTCATCTAGTCCAACTCCCTGATTGTCCAGTTTCTCCTGGAAAACCTCCACAATGTTCAGCTTTTAGGAGATAACCCCGATTCCGAGGCAGTCGGTGTCTAAGACCGATGGGCGGCATCGGACCACCCAAACCCCAGCGTCGGAATTAGCCCTGGGTCTCAGCTCGGCCCAGTTTGGTCGTCTGAACGGCGCCCTCCTCCAGGGGAGTTCTCCAAGGGGTCCTGGAGACCCCGCACAGTCTGCTGCATCCCACCCGGGAGGGAGGCGGGGAGGACGTGGGAAGGGGGCGAACAATGCCCGCCACGCTCCCTTACACACACGCGCGCGCGCGGCTGCCCCGGGAACAGGGGAGCAGGTTCACCTTCACACGTACCCGGGTTGGCTCGCGCGCCCCGCGGGGGCGGGGGCAGAGGGATTTTTCCGCCAAGCCAACTTCTCTCGGGTCTGGCCGGGGTCCAACCTACTCCCCCTCTCCCACCCCCCAAAAAGAGTGGTGGTGCAAATGGGCCCAGTTTCCCCCCCCGCGCCCCAGTCCCCGGGCACATGTGTGGGTGCGTGCGTGGCAGGCTGTTGCATAAACAGCCCAGCAACTTAAGGCTCGCCTTGTCCGCGTCTGGCTGCCCGTCGGAGGCGGCCCCCGTGGAGGGCAAGTCCTTGGCAGCGGCCGGGGCGACACGCGTGACGTTCGGCTGCACACCGGCCCGGGCGCTGCCCGGAGGGGGCTCGGCGGCCGGGAGGAGGGCGGCCCCACGCAGCCTTCCCGGGGGGCAGCCTCCGGGGGCCGGCGGCGGCGCCCCCACCCTCGCCGCCTGCCTGGGAAGCCCCCTCCGGAAAGTGAGAGTGAGGGTCGCCGCCCGCCCCCCGCCACGACCCCCGCTCGGAGCCGGGCAAGTTGGGAGAGGCGGTCGCCCCCCGCCCGGGGCAGCCCCTTACCTGGTCGCCGGAGCCCACCGCATCCACATTGTCACGCCTGCGGTCGCCGAGACGGGCGGGGGGGGGTCGCCGCTGCAGCCGGCCGGCGAAGCGAAAGCGAGAGCGAGAGAGCGAAAGTGGGGGCGACCCCCGCCTCCCCCCAAAGGCGCCGCCGCCGCCGCCGCCGCCGCGGAAGTGTCCCGGGCAGGCGAGGGGTCAGCGGGGGCGCCGGAGCCGGCCCGAGTGGGGGGCGCGAGCCGCCCCCCGGCAGGCGCCCGGGCTCATGGGAGGGGGGCGGCGGGCGAGGGCTCAGCCTGGCCGGGGGCGCCTGGGGTCAGCCGGGCCTCCTCCGGCTCCTCCGCAGAGCATCCAGGCGGCGCCCGATGCCCGATGCCCGCCGCCGCCGCCGCCGCCGCTTCCCTCCGCTGGCTGGCTGGCTCGGCAGCTGCGCCGCTGCAGCCCCGCCGGTGGCTCTGGCTGGCTCCGACGCTGCCGACGCCGCGTGGCCCAGCCCCGCCTGACGTCAGCCCCGGGAGCCGGGGGGGCGCGAACCCCCTTATCCGCCTTCACCCACCCAGCCCCGTGGCCGCGGGGCGGGGGGGCACGCGGGGCCAGCCCGAAGAAGGGGCACTCCGGGGCCCATCTGCCTCAGCCGGGGGACCGGGGGACCAGCCGGGTGCTGGAGGAGAGACACGTGGACTCCGGGGCCCATCCGCCCCGGCCAGGCGACCACCAGGACGCCGGGGGATCCCCGGAATGAACTGCGAGGCCTCGTTCAACTCAAAACCGGTTACTTAAGACCGGGAAAAGTAGCCTGAAATTGAAGAAAAGTTACTTTTATTTTTGAAGGATGCGGCAGGCGAGTTTATATCCCCATCCCCTCAAAAATAAAGCTCCCTGCCTCTCAAAGCAGGGCCTAAATAATATAGAAGGCAATGAATAGCTCAGCTCAGTTTATTTTATATATTGGAAGAAGCCCAGAATTTTTATTGCAATTTTTGGTGTTCCTGGGCATTTAGAGATATATATTTGCCAGCCCTTTTTGGAAAAGCACTGGGTGTCCAAGCCCCCCTTCTTCCTCTCTCTCTCTCTCTCTCTCTCTCTCTCTCTCTCTCTCTCTCTCTCTCTCTCTCTCCCTCCCTCCCTTCCTTTACTCTTTCTTTCCTCCCTCCCTCCCTCCCTCCTCTCCCTTCCTTCCTTCCTTCCTTCCTTCCTTCCTTCCTTCCTTCCTTCCTTCCTTTATTCTTTCTTTCCTCCTTCCCTCTCTGCCTCCCTTCTCTCCCCTTCTTCCTTCCTTCCTTCCTTCCTTCCTTCCTTCCTTCCTTCCTTCCTTCCTTCCTTTCTGGAGAATTCTGGGAGTCGAAGTCCACCCATCTTCAAGTGACCAAGTTGGACAAACAATGGCTTAGACCAATAAGCCACTGTCTGCAGCTATCCTTTATAGCTAGAGATCTACATTTGGAGAGGGAAAAGATCATCCGTTTTGTGTGGATGTGCACAAAAATCGGTGGAACCAGCCCTGTTCTAATCCCAGCCGCCCCTTTGACCAGCGAGTTCTGTGAGCTCCCATCGCCGGGGGGGGGGGGGAAGGGGGCTCTAATGTCACCCGAACTGGGTTTGCCAATAGAATGAAGTCAGCGACCGATGGCACAAAGCTGGCCTTTTGGAGATGCAAAGGGGGATTTAAGGGATGGATTCAGAGACCCGTTTTGCTTCCTTGCTGTATTTTATGCAAATCCAGGAATCCTGAAGTGTCAGAAGCCAAGTTGCCAAATGACTAAGCTCACACCTCCGATGAACGGTGCTAAGTATTTAAATATTTGCTTACTTCATCTGTCCCTATGAATCACCTTTTATTTTTCCTGCCCTCGGCTGCAACTCCTGGCTAGGAATTAGGGGGGCTTCAATGGCATCACCCCGACTCTTCCCAACCACACTGGATGAAAAAGATGGCTTGCACAGGCCAGGATGAGCCTCAAACCACCGTTTGCACCAAGAGTTTAAACCAGGTTTAAGGAACATCTATCTGTCTCTTTCTCTCTCTTTCTCTCTCTCTCTCTCTCTCTCTCTTTTCTTTCCCTTAGCCTCTGAGCATGTACAAAATGCTTCTCCCTCCTTGCTAAGATAATGCTGCAAACTCCAGGTCAGCTCAGGACAAACGTAGACTCCACTTTGGATTCTGTCTCTCTCTCTCACTCAAAAACAAAAACTTCCAGTTGGAAATTTGCTAAGGTTGCCCGGCATTATTTATAATTTCTAAGAGCTAAATTTTCCCCAACACAGGAACCATCCTCTCTCTTCCTTCCTGCCATGAATGTGGTTCCTTGTTCCAATCCAGGGGGTTGCAACCCCCCCCAGTAACCTTTTGGTCCCCCCACCCACCCAGCCGAACGTGGGTGCTTGGGGAAGGCTGCCAATCCTGGTTTCGCAACCTTTCCAGACAGAAGTCTCTCCAAATTTCTCTCCCCCCCCCCCCCGTGGGCAGCAAGGAAGGATGCTCGCCTGGATACGGTTACTAAGGAGTCGCTTAGGATGGTGCTGCCATTGTTAAGTGGGGAGCGCCCGGGACGCCAGTCTCCTCCGGAGTCATTTTACAGCAGGGAAGCAGAGGAACTTCAAAAGATGTATGACTTGGGGCAAAATTTGCCACCCAATCTTTCGATGGCCTCCCAATGCAAAATTGAGCCTCCCTGTACAAGAGTAGTCTACCTCAAAATGGAGGCGCATCCCTTCTGGACCGTGTCAGTTCTGCATCCTTCCCTTCACGCATTCAACGCAAAGTCACTTTGTAACGGAGATGGACGGGACGGAAATTTAATGAGTAATAAGCCCAGGCAGTCCTAGGCTTACAAAAGTTTGATTAGTGACTGTTCAAAGTTACAACGGCATTGGAAAAAAAGGCCGGGCAGCCATTTGAGCAGGATGGGATAAGGGGGTTGGACTAGAAGACCTCCAAGGTCCCTTCCGAACCCTGTTATTCTGAATTTTCACGAACTAGCACACTTGAGTCCATTTCAAGAGGCGAGAATCTGGAAACATTCTGAACTGAGGAACTCGTAAGCCTCGACCGTTGTGGTTTTTCCCCAACAGCTGCAAATTGTAGCCCACTTTTCTCCACTTCATTTGACACTAATCCCACAACAAGTTTAATTAGAGAGGAAAAAAGCAAGTTCAGTCTTCCGAAATATCCCTTTTTGCTTCTGCTTGACTCACTATGACATCCGTGAAGCTGATGGGAAAGTGCCACATTCAGACAAGGGGATTCACGGAATCGTAGAAGCACAGAGATGGATGGGACCTCGGAGGTCCTCTAGTCCAACCCCATCAGGAATCGTCTAGGGTCTCCTGCTTGAGCAGGGGGTTGGGCTAAAGGACCTCCAAAGTCTATTCCATCATGAAATTCCATTTGGATGGAAAAACCTGCCAGACCAACTTTCAAAGTCGACATTAGCCGGGATAATGAATGGCTTCTAATTAGCCATTTATCCCTTCTCCCCACTCCGACATGGTTGGGTCAGAGGGAAATTACAGGAAGAAGCATTTTTACTTAATTCTAAGTTGCCCTCGCTAATTCCTCCCTATGCCAATTCATTTCAATGATTTGAACCTCCGGATCCAATCGGAAGTGTAATTTTGATTCATGCCCAACTGGATATGAGGACTTGCTAAACAAACCCCGATCATGGTCGTAGGTCGAGGACTTTTTGCTAACGGAGCACTTCACCTCTGGGTTCAGCTTGAAAATAAAGTGAAATTCGCTCGTCAGAAGCCCGTATGGAAGGGGAAACCATCACCTTTGCAGATGACCCCAGGCTGGCAGGAATAGCCAGCACTCCAGAAGACAGGCTGAAGATCCAGAAGGATCTGGACAGACAGTGAGAACAATTAACCAGGGGAACGGCTTTGCCTTCAGACATTGTGGATGCTGGAGGTTTTTAAGAAGAGATTGGGCAGCCATTTGAGAGGAACATGGAGGGTCTCCTGCTTGAGCAGGGGGTTGGACTAGAGGACCTTCCAAGGTCCCTTCCAACTCTGCTCTATGCATTCTCTATTCTGAGATCCATACTCAAAATAAAGAGGAATTTCCAGGTAGTGAGAACAATCAGTGGAAGGGCTTCCCTCCAGAGGTTGCCACTGCTCCATGATTGGAGGTTTTCATGAAGAGACCGGACAGCCATTTGAATAGGATGGAATAAAGTCTCCCACTTGAGCAGGGGGTTGGACTAGAACACCTCTAAGGTTCCTTCCAACTCTGTTATTCTGTTCTGTGGTTTCAGCTTTTTAAAGGAGAGCAATTAAACCGATGCTGGCTTGCTATGTTCTTCCTGCCTGCTACAGAGGAAGGGCTGGGGGGGGGGGGCAAAAGGGGGGGGGAAGGTGGCAACCTTAATTTAGCATCACAAATCAGGCTGCACACAAAGGAATTCAAATCGAGACTTTTCAAAGCTAAGCACTTTGGGCTCAGTTGCCTAGCAGCAGCAAGGACAGATGTGAGGATCTGTCTAAAGTTAGTTCGGGCGAGTGCGCACGCTGGTGTTTCGCTCCTTAATCGGGCCCGATTAAAAAAACTACAACACAAACACACACACACACAGAGACACACACAAGGTTGTCGTCAAGCTTCTGCGCGGAGCTGTTTAGCGACTGCAAATTTTGCAACCCTGGAAAGTCACTGGAGAGTTTCGAATCCAGCACCCTGTCAAAATTACACCTGGGGGAGGGAAAAAGGAGGGATTTTGTGTGGGTGCGTATGTGGGTGGGTGTTTTGCGACTTGTTAAGCGAGTCACTGCGGTTGTTAAATGAATCACACGGTGGGAAGGTGGCAAAAAGGGTTCACGTAAACCCAGGACGCTGCAACCGTCGTAAGTATGAGTCAGTTGCCAAGTGCCCAAATTTTGACCCTGTGATCACAGGGAGTCTGCAGTGGTCGTAAGTGCGAGGATTGGAACTAAGTCAGGGGGAGACATAAATAAATAAGGTGAAAAGCAAATTTGTCCAGCCGGTCTTGGAAACAGGTCACGAGAAATTGAGATGCAAATTCCAGCCTGTTTCGGAGGAGGCTAAATTTAACCGGATATTTTTACAACAGAAGGTGCTCCCGATGATAAATCTCAGACTCGCCTCTCGCCCTGCGATTCCCCGAAAATCCAAGTCCTCCACATCTGTCCGGGCGCCACTGGCTCCCTCCTCTTCCAGGTGCAATGTCGGCTTCGGATGTCTTCCGATCCTTAAAAGCTTGTGCAGGCAATCCTTGGCTTAGCAACACTTCCTTTAGTGGCTGTTTCGGAGTTACAACGGCCTTGAAAAAAGGGACTTTGGGCCGTTTTTTCACACGACCGTCGCAGCATCCCTGCGGGTCAAGGGATCAGAAAATTCACCTGCTTGGCAACTGCCTCGGGTTTGTGACGTTTGCAGTGTCCTGGGTTCAAGTGATCCCCTTTTGCGACCATCTGACGAGCAAACTCAATGGAGAAGCCGGGTTCACTTAACAACTTTCCTTTTGTTTTGTTTTCTTTCACTCCTTTTTTCCTTTCCTTTCCTCCCTCCTTCCTTTCTCTTTTCCTTCCCTTCCCTTCCCTTTTCATTTCCTTTCTCTTTCTCTTTCCCTTCGCTCTTTCCTTCCCTTCCCTTCTCTTTCCTCTCCTCTCCTCTCTTTTCTCCTTTCTGTCCATCCTCTTCTCTCATCTATCCAGATGGTTTTCAGTTCCCTTCCCGCCTTCTACTGCACCAGCTTCCTCGCCCGATTTCGTATGATCTGCGCGTCTCCAAAGTCTTCTCTGGCCTCTTCATCTAACTCCATCAAAAGGCGGGCGATTGTCATTCACGGGAGCCAAGGAAGGACAGGGAGACGCCGGCTGCAAACACCTGATTGGAATACTTGTTTCTCCCACAAGCAGAGAAAACTGTGTCAGGCCCATTGTTGGTTGTGTGTGTGTGTGTGTGTTTTTCCCCTTCTTTCTCGACGCTGTTATGACCGGGACTCTTTTCGCCCACTGCACAGACTGGGAAGCGACACAGATGCTTATATTTCACATCAAGGTTGAAGACGAAACGCCTCGGTTTTCTGAAAGGCCAGGGCAAGTCAGGCTTCAGCTGGGATTAGAACACAGAACCTGGAATGATCGGATTGGAAGGGACCTTGGAGGTCTTCTAGTCCAACCCTCTATTCGAGCAAGAGACCCTGGACCACCCCAGTCAAAATGTCCTCCAGCTTCTCCTTGAGGACCTCCAGGGATGGAGCACCCACAACTTCTGAAGGCAAGTCGTTCTTCTCACCGAGGGGCCAGGGGGAAGCGGGACTCTCTTGACAACTTGTGTTCCTAATTTAACAATTGCAGGGAGTCACTTCACAACCGTGTCCGGAAAAGTTGTCAAATGGGGGCAAAACTCACTTAACAACGGTCTCGCCTAGCAACAGAAGTTTTGGGCTCCACCGTGGTCGTAAGTGGAGGCAGGAGAGACCCAGCCGGATCCATGCAGAGAAAAACAATATATAATCTTAACAAGACAAGCCCTGTCTGAGGTTTCTTGGCAGCCTTGAAATAAAGCCGTTTGGGCGTCTGGGGAGATGGGTGACCTTCTGCACGAGAGATTCGTAAGGGCTCCAAGATGGATGGATGGGGGACTTGCAGGCCAGAAGACAAAGTGTGGCTGCCAGGGCTGTTTTTGTGTTATTTTAAAAGTGCAGCCCCCTCAGAGTCAACAGGGAGGGCCTAAGGAACAGCTGGAGCCTGACACGGAGCACGTTTGGGTCTTCACTGATCCAGCTGCTGAGATCCAACGAAGAGCAACAGGAAGAAGAACCCTGGCGACTGCTTCCAAGGGCAGATCCTGCAACTGTCTTGCTCAGAATAGCCACCAGCTTAGAAAGATAGAATTGGAGGCTGGAAGGGATCTTGGAGGTCTTCTGGTCCAACCTTCTGCTCGAGCAGGAGACCCTGCCCAAATGACTGTCCAGTCTCTTCTTGAAGACCTTGAGTGATGGAGCATCCACAACTTCTGGGGGCAAGGAGTTCCACTGGTTCATTGTTCTCACTGTCAGGAAGTTTCTCCTTAGTTCTAGGTTGCTTCTCTCCTTGGCTAGCTTCCATCTGTTGCTTCTTGTCTCTTAGTTGCAGTTCTAAGTCAAGGACTATCTGTAAATCTTTACCAAATTCCCTTTAATGGCAATCTTATCGTCACCTGTCATTTATGTTAAGGTCAGCACAATTTGCTAAGAATTAACAGCCCAAACAAACCCTATTTTGCAGGAGACACTGCTGCCTATTAAATTTCGTTTTCAGCCACCTGGTTATCACTTTGATTGTGAGTAACCTATTTGTATGCAATCTTCTTTTACCGTTTTCATTTTTATTCTCGGTTCAGCTTGCACCGGATCGTATTTTATCCTATTTTATTGCTGTGGGAATAGCAGCCTGTGCTATATTTTAATCCATCACCACACCGTGTATTTATATTAATACGAGTCATAACTTGCCGGCTAGTTTTTCAAAGACTTTGGTCTTCCAGAGCTTATACTATAAACGTAACGTTTTAGTTACCTTGCTCAGAGCTTGTATAAACTGATTATTGGGTCATAGACTCTGTGTTTAAAACGTTACACTCGGCTGAGCTTTGGACCAAAATAGGATAAAATTGGAATTTGAAGCTGGCATCTCGGCCAGACTTAAAGCAAAACAAAAAAAAGATATTAATTGGGGATTTCCCCCCGCCCCCCCAACCTTATCTAGAGATACGACAAACATATCTTGGTCTTTATCCATCCTCATTCGTGATGGCACTTTTTGCTATCTGATAAATGCAGAAGGACCAGTAAGAAGTCCTGGACAGGCTGCAGAGAAGAGCAACAAAGAGGATTAGAGGACCAAAGGCAAAATCATACAAAGAACAGTTGCAGGAATTGGGTATGTGTCTGGGCTTACGAAGACAAGGACTAGGGGTGCCATGATAGCAGTCTTCCAATATTTGAAGGGCTGCCACAAAGAAAAGGGGGGGGTCAACTTATTCTCCAAAGCCCCTGAAGGCAGGACAAGAAGCAACGGATGGAAACTGATCAAGGAGAGAAGCAACCTGGAATTAAGGAGGAATTTCCTGACAGTGAGGACAATTAACCAGTGGAACAACCTGCCTCCAGAAGCGGTGGGTGCTCCAACACTGGAAGCTTTTAAGAGACTGGACAGCCATTTGAGTGGGATGGCAAAAGGCCTCCTGCTCAAACAGGGGGCTGGACTACAGGACCTCCCAGGTCCCTTCCAACTCTTATGATATGCTCATCATTCAGCTTTAAACTCCCCTGAGTTTAAACCAACATCAACGGGAATCAGCCTCACAGCTTCCATCATTTGCAAAATAAAATTCCCAAGCGTCACTGCTGCCCAGATTTGAATTCTGGAGTAAAAAATAAAAATTAAATAAAATCCAATTGGGGAGGGGAGTGGAGGGGGAGGGCCAGTTCTAATTTTAGGATGTCCAATTTGACCCGAAATAGCATCTTTCCAACCGGGGCTAAGTTTGAAGGCCGCCCAGAGATGCTGACGTGGCTTTCCACCATCTGCGGGCGAGCGGAGAAAGGGGGGAACGTGTCAGAGCCGAGAGAAATGAGAGAGAGAAAGACTTTTGCTGGAGGACATGAAGGGCTTGAAATATCATCCAGCCTTTCCCGGGCCTTAAATATCGTTCTGATCACCCACGGTAAATTGTGGGGATGTTCCCATCAATAACAAAAGGGAAGACGCAACGCCTGGTGTGTGTTTCCCTTTCTTTGCTCGGAGCGAATTTTCATTCGTGTCTGGAAATTGATTTTTTTTTCCCGCATCTGGAAGGACCATTCGGAGTTACTGATATAAAAGTGGCAGTGATTCACTTAAGAACTGCATCAAGAAAGGACATAAAGAGGGGCAAAACCCACTTAACAACTGTCTCACTTAATGACAGAAATGTTGGATTGTGGTGTTAAGTCGAGGATCAGTGGAAGGGCTTCTCTGCAGATGTTGCTTTTAAAAAGAGACTGGACAGACTTTTGTCCTGAATGCTCACAGGGGGTTGGACTAGAAGACCTCCAGGGTCCCTTCCAACTCTGCTGTTCTGTTATTCTGTTACTCTGTTGTTATATTCTCAGCCTCATCTTTTTTTAAAAAAAAAAAATCTAAACATTTGCATTGCTTTCCTGCTCTTCATAGCTTTGGGGGAAATGCAGAGCATGCACTGGGAGATAGGAAGGCCCAGGGAATCCTGGCTTGCCTGGTTTTGCAAAGGTTTCTGCGCTCCTGGCTGACTCTCCGCTTCTGCAAATAAAGCAGGATATAAACCAACAGGGAAAGAGAGAGAACAGGAGATGCTATATGCCTCTCCACAGATGTGGGAAGCTGTATTGATATTATACACAATCCCAGGCTAGCTGGGGATCCACTTGGGACACAAGGGAGAAAGAAAGTACTGCAGAAAAGAAAAGAACAGAAAAAAAGACTCACCTCTTAATCAATCAATCAACTCCCTTGATCAATCTACCGATTGCAATGTTACAATTCTGGAATTGACTGCCGAGAAGACTCGCTCCACGGGACACAGAGGCTGAACTAGCGTCGCCAATTTTTATTCGCTTCTCCAAATACAAAATAAAAAAAAAAGAGAGAATTGTGGGAAAATAAGGAAGGAGAAAGAAAGGAAGGAAGGAAGGGAAAGAACGAAAGAAAGAAAAAGGAAGGAAGGAAGAAAGACAAAGAAAGAGAGAAAGAAAGAAAGAAAGTTGGAAACACACCACTTGCAGCCAACGTTCATTTACAGTCAAGTGTTTGAATTTTGATGCCACAACGGTCATAAGTGTGAAAAACGCTGTGACTTTGGTCACTAAACAAACTGTTATAAATCAAGGACTGCATGTATCAGATTTGCCTGATCACTTTTGCAGAGACGGAGCGGGGGGATGATCCCCCCAAAACCACAAATACATTGCATAAAATTGCCCCCCTCCTCAAAATCACATTGGCAGCCCCCCCTTTTCCTGAAGAGGCTAAATGCCCCCCCCCCCGTTAATTTTCTCCTAAAGCCTGGCTGAGCTGGGGCTGTTTGCGCCGGCCCCTCCTGCCTTCCTAACAACAACCGGGGTTAAAAACAAATGGGCTTGTTGTGTGTGAGTGTGTTTATGCAAAGCTCCAAGTCCTTTAAGGATTCATGAGCTCTGCCTGTTGGAAAAAAAAACATGCTTTTTCGTGCCTGGCTGCAGGCGCTTTGCTTCCGATCAAGCTTTGATTTCCCTGTCTGCATGTTCTCAAACTCCGGTTTATTGCACAGCACAAGCTCCCTTTTTATTGCCCACGTTCCCTCGGCTAGGCTCCCCTTCCCATGGCAGGAACCGACTCTCAAGTCATTGGCTGGGCGCTGTCGGAGAGAACAACCATTGGTGGGTCAGGATAAAGCTGTTTGCGGCAGCTTCACACAAACACACACAAACTGGCCACAGAGAAGAGCGCAACACAGGGTCAAATCTTGCAAAAATGAGGCTGAATGGCTAGGATTCGCCAGACAGGATTGCAGACTCCCCTTAGGCAAAGTTTTCCCTCTGTGGAGGGCAGGGGGTCCTCAGCTTATGACAATGATGGAGGCCCAGATTTCCATTGCTAAGCAAGACAGTTGTTAAGGGAGTTCTTATTCTCCCTTCTCATTCCCATCTCCTTCCTTCCTCCCTTCCTTTCCTTCCTTCCATCCCTTTCTCCTTCCTTCCTTCCATCCTTCTTTCTTCCCTCCCTCCCATCCCCTTTTCTCATTCCCATCTCCAGATGATAGACAGACAGACAGAAAGATACAGAGACAGATAGAGAAACAGACAAAAAGAAAGACAGACGAATAGACAGACAGACGGATGGATAACATTTTTTTTAAGGGCGCTTTACTTGTACTTTGGTTTCTAAAGCTCTGCTGTTTCTGATGGATCTTCAAGCTAGTTAATTTCAAAGAAAACGTGTTTGTTCATTCCAGGTTATCTGCCTTGTTTTGTGAAGATCCAGGAGCTGATCCCAGAAGCTCTTCTCTTCCTCACTGAAGTTTGACGGTTATCAAAAGAAAACGTTTAAGTGGATTTAAAAGATGAAGCCATCATCTATTTTCCCAAGACTGAGCTTTCAAAAAACAAAACAAAAATGGATCGTTTTCAGGAGAGATTGACACACTTTTTAAAGTCTGAAAGTTTCCAGGAGCAAACAACACTGTCAGTGCTTGGATGGTTTATTTAGAGCCAAAATTGAGTTATTTATAGTCAGCTGGTGGTTTAAAAAGCAGTGTTGTTTGCTCAACTTGAGGAACATCTCAAGAACATTCCCAGATCGTCTCAAGAACAAAAGCCTTGTCTGCAGGATCAACCCAGGTGGTATTTGTGACATATTATGGGTTTTTTATGTCCATGTGAACAGTTGAGAGATTCTTTTAAAAAAAGAATAGATTCTCAAGAGAAGTTTGAAGATCTCCCCTCTGATCCAACCATCACAGGAAAGTTGGACACATCATTCAGAAGAT